GATACTGAGTGGTGCAATCATAATCCTTCACTAGCTCCAACCATCGCCTCTGGCGCATGTTGAGCTCCTTCTGCGTGAAGATGTACTGCAGACTCATGTGATTGGTGTAGATCTCGCACCGACCACCATACAAATAGTGCCTCCAAATCTTGAGCGCGTGGACAATGGCCGCCAACTCAATGTCATGAGTCAGGTAGTTCTCCTCGTGGGGCTTCAGCTGTCGCGAAGCGTAAGCGACAACCTTGCCCTCCTGCATCAGCACGCACCCAAGTCCCTGCTTCGAAGCATCACTATAGATAGTGAAACTCCGTGTAGGGTCCAGAATAGTCATCACGGATGCCGTAGTCAACCTTCTCTTGAGCTCCTGAAAGCTCGACTCACAACGGCTACTCCAATCGAACTTAGCCCCTTTCCTCGTCAAGCGTGTCAAGGGTAGGGCTACCTTCAAAAACCCCTCAATGAACCTCTTGTAGTAGCCTGCTAACTCGAGAAAACTCCGTATCTCGGTAACAGACCTCGGTGCTGACCAGTTCCTCACTGCCTCGATCTTCCCGGGATCGACCTCAATGCCCTCGGCCGTAACAATGTGACCGAGGAATGCCACTTGATCGAGCCAAAACTCGCACTTCGAGAACTTGGCGTACAGTCTCTCCCGCCTAAGAGTCTCCAACACGATCCTCAAATGCTCCTCGTGCTGGGTTGTGCTCCTGAGTAGACCAAAATGTCATCTATGAAGACGATGACAAACTGGTCCAAGAATGGGTGAAAGACACGGTTCATGAGATCCATGAATACCGTCGGCGCATTGGTCAAGCCGAACGGCATCACGACAAACTCATAGTGACCGTATCGGGTACGAAACGCGGTCTTCGTCATGTCAGACTCCCGAATCCTCAACTGATGGTAACCCGAACGAAGATCTATCCGGGAAAACACACGGGCACCTCTCAGCTGGTCGAATAAGTCCTCTATCCTGGGGAGTGGATACTTGTTCTTCACCGTCAACTGGGTAGTCGATGCACATGCGCAGTGTCCCGTCCTTCTTCTTCACAAAGTTGACAGGTGCTCCCCAAGGTGAAACGCTCGGCCGGATGAAGCCGAGACCCAACAACTCCTGAATCTGAGCCTTCAACTCCTGAAGCTCTTTCGGCGCCATACGATACGGCGCTTTCGACACTGGCCCAGCTCCAGGAAACAGGTCGATCGTGAACTCCACCTGACGACTAGGTGGTCCTCCCGGTAGCTGATCCGGAAAGACGTCCACAAAATCTCTCACTATGGGTACATCTCCGGGCATGCGCTCCTCCGAAGGTTCCATGAGTATAGTGACTAGGTAGCCCTGACAATCCTCCCTCTGTAGGCACTTAGTCGCCTTCGCCATGGAAATGATATGTGGTAAAGTCCTCGTCCTCGTCCCGAAGAATGTGATGTGGTCTCCGTCGGCTAAGTGCAACGTCACCTCTCTATCACGGCATCGGATGTCTGCGTGATATCTCTCCAACCAATCCATGCCGAGAATAAGGTCAAAGTCCCTCATCTCGATCACGAATGCGTCTACCTCTAGAGTTCTGCCCCCAATACACATGCTAAGGTTCTTGGCCAGGGAACTCGTGACTATCTTCCTCCCCGAAGCTAGGCTGATCTCGAGGGGGTCGACGTCACTCACACCCTGAACCCCTATGGCCTCTAGACACTTGGCCGAGACGAACGAATGTGTCGCCCCGGTATCGAACAAAGCAAAGACAGGTATATCGAGTAAATAGAGCATGCCAGACATGGTACCTGGCTGCTCGGCGGCCTGCTCCTGGTCAAGTGCGTAAATGCGGGCAGGTGCACCTCGAGGTGGGTGCTGAGCTGGCTGTCTCGGTGCTGGCTGTCTATGAGCTGGCGGTCTCTGGCCCTGCTGGGGCTGTGGGCGATCTGGGCAGTCTGCGATCCTATGACCGGGCCTGCGACAACGATCAAATGTTCTGCCCAGCTAGGCACTCTCCCCGGTGGACGCGCTGACAAGTAGCGCAAATAGCTGGGGGCTGCGGGACCGGTGGTGCTGCCTGAGCTGGGGCTCCTGGTCGACGGTTCCTCCTATCGCCGCGACCTCTCTACTTCCTCTTGTGTCGGTGCTGCGCCTGCTGAGGTGGCGCTGGCAGGGCTGGCTGGATGGCAGCTGGCTGTCTGGCTAGTGGTGCCACTTGAGCTAGTGGCTGTGCAGGAGTGTCTAGCAGCTGGGATACCTCAATCTGCTGAGCTCGCTCAACGGTCTCAGCATAAGTCAAATAGCTGTGGCTGGCTACGAGCACTCGAAGGTCTCTGGTTAGGCCATTGCGAAAACGGGAGGCCTTCTTGTTGTCGGTGTCCACAAGATGGCGTGCATAGGTGCTCTTACGAGCGAACTCCCGCTCGTACTCCTCAACCGAACGGTCTCCCTGAAGCAAGTCATAGAAGTCTCGCTCCATCCTCTCGCGAAAGTGGCGAGGGTAGTACTTGGCCTCCAAAATCCCCTTGAGTTGATCCCAAGTCAGCTGGTCTCGCTCGTCATCTGTCCTGAGACGCCAGTAGTCGTCCCACCAGTCTCCGGCCGCACCCTCTATCTGAAACTCGGCACAAGAGACCATGTGCTGGTCGGATATGCCCATCATCCGGAAAATACGATCCATCTTGCGGATCCAGTCTCCTACGGCAAACGGGCCCTCCTCTCCAGTGAAGACCTGAGGGGCGTAAGTCCGGAACTGGGCTGCGACTACTGACTGATCCCGCTCTGCGGGTGGGGCTCTACGGGGCGGCATTCTGAATAGCCAAATAACAACTTGATTAGTATAGCCAATTAATAAATAGCTACACTACTTGACGAATTTAAGTAATTTACCGAAAACACCTAGCTTGGCTAGAGTTCCAGTTTCTGCTTAACTCTACTGATTCTAGTTCAAATTCTGATAAAGTCTAGAGTTGGACTTAGATAAACTTTCTACAATTCTTGTCTAGAGTTCTCTTTCTAGTCGGAGGATAGATGGCCCCTAAGGTTTCTTACTATGTTCTCATGCACTTGCAGAAATTTAAAACTTAGGTGACTTACCTCGGAGTCGGCGCGGCGTGAGCGTGGCGTGGTCATGCTTTTCTAAACTTTTAAGTATACAGAACCACAAAGTGGCTCTGATACCATCTGTAACACCCCGCCTAATTATTTCTAGAATTTATAAAATCAGAGTAAAATTTTTGCTTTTTATTTTCGAAAAACTCTTAAACTTTATTTTCGAAAATACTCATACTAACTTGCGGGATGCTACTAACTTAAACTCTTTCTCATGCAGACGTAAATAAATACATGCAACCTAATCAAATCCGTTATATAAAGGTACCACGGAGATAAAGGCATTATACATGCATAAGTCTGATAATCTCATAATACATACTAAGTCTCAAATGTGCGGAAGCTGAAACATAATATGTCTACGCATAGTAATGATAGTACATGTTCAATAAATGACATACAGATGCGTTACAAAAAGACTGCTAACGACCATGACCACCACTGAAATCTCACGCGCCACGTGCCGCTCCGTCACCTGAAAAACGTAGTGGGGGCGTGAGCAAAACCACTATGCTCCGCAAAGACCAGTACTTAATTATGTAGCATTGTTAATAACAATATCATGACTTTAAGTATATAAGAACTGATCTGAACTGAAACTGTAACTAGGGCATCTGGTGGTCATAAAGACCCTGGGCTTAAAAGCCAATCATGTGCACACTCTGGGGGATCATTAAGGCCAATTAAGGCCTCCCTCAGAATCACGGGGGATCATTAAGGCCCGCCACGGCCTCCCTCATGATGAACTAACTATTTCTCATACATACCTCGGATATGGTACGGAAATTAAAGATGATGTATAACCAGTACGTGACCCCCACCTGATAAACTACTACTGTTAGGCAAGTGCTGACTGACTGGTAGCTGTCGGAGGCTCGACTCTCCTTAAGCTACATAAATATTTGAGCAAAATATACTAAGTACTAAGCTCAAATAAAACTTGATTCTTATTATTAATTGATCTTACTCGGTTCTCTTGCTCGATTAAAATATCATTTAATCTGGATTTAGATGCTTTGAGCTATTTTGAAAAGATTTGCTGACTTTGAGGCATTCTAGAGTTCTCTGAAATATTTCTAAGTCTGGTCTGCTTGTCTGATTTATCTGATCTAACTTATCTGACTGATCTGATCTGATTTATCTGACTGGGTGCAACTCGACTTAATCGTGGTTCGGGTGCATACGCACGGTCACGACATCAGTCGACGCACAACTTTTCTACTCGGATCTAGAGTTCATCCGGACTGACCGAAAAAGGCCAAGCTAGGGTTCTCTACTCAACCGGCTATCTTTCTCGGTTCAAGTCAAAACTCAAACTTTAAGTTTAACTCGATTTCTAGTGATTTTAGCCAAGTCTCAACCGGATAAATTCTAGGGTTTTCACCAAAGCAGCTAAAGTCTCGAATTTGTAGGCATAACAAACAACCTTCAAAAATTATGAAATTTTAACCACATCATACTCAGCATTTATAATATTTTTCGTGAAAGTTGCATCGAATTCCGAGGTCTTATCATATTTCTCATAAATCGGGCATTTCAGCTACACATTCAAAAATCCAGTTAACATACTAAACGAGCACCAAAAATTACAAAATTAAAACCTAGGCCTCAAGTCAGCTATACGAATTTTATCACGCTAGTTTCGCATTTTTCCGGGCAGCAACCAATATTTACGGATTTTAATGTCATTTAAGCCGATAAATTCACCATAAATCTTATAATGCTCGAAATCACCTCCCGTAAATTTTAAAATTCATCTAAATACTCAATTAAGCTCATGGAGTAAGGTTTAAGCCGATATACCTCTCGAAGGGATCAAATCGGAAGTCGGAAAAATTAAAACGGCTAGGGAACGACCCGGTTGTGCTCGGGTGTACTCGGATCTAGGCTATGGGCTCGGTTTATGGGCCGAGAGTCACGGATCTGAGGAGCTGGGCTGCTGTCTGGGTGGTTTTGACCACTCGGGTCGGGTCCGGTGCAAAAATCCGAGCTCGGGCGCGCGTGGGAGAGAGCTGATCGCGCGTGAAGGTCCGGGCCGCTGCAACTGGACGCTGGCTGGTCGGGATCGAGGTACTGGGTCGGTTTTGAAGCTGGTTTGGGTCTGAGCTATGTTGGTCGTCGGTCTGCTCGTCGGGACTGCACTGAGGAGGAGCTTGGTCTGGTCGGCGTCGTGGAGGGCGGACTGAGGTCGGGGATGAACTGTTGGTCGCCGGGGAGCTCGGTTATAGTTCGGGGCTGAACTGCTAGTCGCCGGAGATGCTGGTACGCGGCGGAGCTGAGTGGTGCTGGTGGTGCTCGCGAGGCTCGCCGACGCGCCGGAAAAACGGGGCTGGAGAGCTTTTGGTCGGAGGACGCGGCGGAGCTGAGCTGCGGGCTGTGAAGGAGGAGCTTCGGCGCCGGAGATGGTGACGGGAAAACGAGCTCGTCGGATTGCGGGCTGAGCTAGGGCTGCGGGCTGGCCGGAAATTTGGGGAGCTCACCGGAAATTTGACAAGCCATGGTGGTTGGAGAAGGAAAGCTTCTTTTTCTTGAACAAGCTAAGACATAATGTAGGTTTTTGGACTAGATCTTAGAATTGGAGATGGTGATGGTGTTTGGATCTTGAAAAATGGTGTGGAAGACAATGAATAGTGTTCTTGGGGGGCTAGGGTTTGTGTTGGATGTTGGGGGACATGGAGACATTCTATTTATAGGAGGGTGGGTAGCTTAGGGTTTTGCTCTTATTGGGCTTAGAAATCGGGCCTAATAGATTGGGCTCGATTTTAACGACTTGGGCTCGGATAAATAATTGCTATTAGGCTCGATTATTTAAAATACTACTTGGGCTCGGATAAAAATAAATATGCAATTAATATTAATAATTCTCCGCATAATTAAAATAATACTAAATCCGATAAATAAGTCGAGCTACTAATATAATTTTTGGTCCGGGGTGTTACACATATGGCCGAGTCTCTGGTGCCATAGATCCTGGTAAGCCTCATCTGCAACATTGAGACTTTCTGTACTAATATTCAAATGTGTTTTGTACAACGTCCCACAAACATGTCCTCGGGCAATTTTCAGAACACCCTTTGACAACTTCCATGTGCCTGCACCAAAGTGATTTTCATTTCCTTCTTTGTCAAGAGCCACCCTGACAAAAGATTCAGCCTAAGATCCGGCACATGTCTGACATCCTTCAACAAGATTGTACTCTCGGTTCCTGTCATTTCCTGGATATCACCAATTCCGTCAATTTCAGTGGAACTGGAATTTCCCATCTTCACCGATCCAAAGTCTCCAACTTGGTATGTTGTGAAGTATTTTCTGTTGGGAGTAACGTGATAGGATGCTGCACTATCTACCACTCATTCAATGTCTTCTCTTGAGACATGAAGACACGTCTCACCATGGTTAGAGCACTATGCTACAACACCTGATACAGTGATAAGAGTTTCACCACTCTTGCCCTTGTTCTTCTGCTGAGAACTATTCTTCGACTGAGAATTGCTCTTGCCCTGCTCCTCGAGCCATTTATAGAAATTCTTCTTCATATGACCTTCTAGACCACAATGATAGCACACATGTGATCTCCGATCATCTGATTGCCTCCCCTTGCTTCTACCCCTGCTATTCCCTCTACCGCTTCTTTGTTGCTTGCCTTGTGGTCTTCCTCGATTCTCCACCACAAGGGCATGGGTTTGATTTGTGCCCATGTCTTTCCTTCTTGCCTCATCATTGTATAAGGCATCCTTGAAAACAGACATGGAAAGTTTGCCGTTTGAGGCTGAGTTTTTTAGAGTAACAACGAGTGTTTCCCCACTATCAGGAAGATAACTAAGAAGTAGCAGAGATTGCATTTTATCTCCAAGCGGCATCTCCACACAAGATAGCTGATTTACCAGGCTCTGGAACTCACTGGTATGCTCGGCAACAGAAGTTCCACTTTTCAACTTCATATTGACTAAGCACCTCATCAATAAGGCCTTATTCCAAGCGGTCTTGGCTTGGTACATGTCCTTCAGCTTCCTCTAGAGAACATATGCATCGGTTTCTTGTGCAATATGATGGAAGACACTATGATCAATCCATTGTCAGATTTGACCAATAGTTTTTCTATTGATTTTCTTCCATTCTAACGCCTTGGATGGATCAGGGTTAATACCCTTCAGCTCTATTGGGTCAAAGAGCTCTTTACAGCTGAGGAAATCTTCCATCCGAGGTTTCCACAACGTATAGTTGGTAGCCGTGAGCATAATCATAGCTCCAGAAGATGAAGTTGACTCTTCCATGGCCATTTTATACCTTCAACGATCTGTTTGAGACAAATTGGAGCTCCGCTTCCCTCGCTACGTTCGCTCCGTTACGCTTGCAGGCATCAGCCTGCCCCCTTCCTTTGTCAATATATGAGTCATACCAATAGAACTCCTTCCTATTATTATAGCTTTATAAGCGAGGCATTGGTTCGAAGTTACAAAAGAAGTTTCAATGGTTTTGCTGCCTACCTTACCAATCAAGAACACCAGAATTTAGCCAGTAAGTTAATTATGAATTCCTCGCTAACACGTATTAAAAAGTTGATACGTGTTGCACAAATTCTTCTAAAATTCATCTTTATGAGCTTGCATAAACTAAGCAAGCCAAGTGAGTTGTGCAGATCTTAAGGAAGTGGTCTCAGTTTTTCCGAGTAGAACACTTTGGCCTCAGACGACGAGATCATGGGACTTTGTCGGATTTCACGATAGCGATGATCAACGTTAAAATGCCGCAAGTGATATCGTAATAGGTGTTCTCGATTCCGGAATATGGCCTGAATCCGAGAGCTTCAACGACCGAGGCTTCGGTCCTCCGCCCAAGAAATGGAAAGGGGTTTGTAACGGCGGCAAAAATTTTACCTGCAACAAGTAGGAACACCTTTCATCTCTCTCATGATTTTATTTTTATGTTTGCTCTCAATTAATTTGCAATTATAGTGGTAATATGCGTATAATTATACTACAAAATTTCATACTTGAGCATAAAAGTATGTACATTTGTCAAAATCAAAGTGACGAGCAGCTAATTGTTTCGCCCGACCGTAAGTGATAGAGTTAAGGGCGAAAGGAAACGAAAAATAATAGATATTATTAATTAAGAATTTACTTGAAATCATTCGGGACAAATCCCGCCCAACCTAGAGGCCGACACTTCGAGAAGTAACTTTCTGCCCAAGCTTAAAGTCGATAATTTTATTCTAACACAAGCTAACGTATGAGTGTGTTTGTATATGAAAAACTCAATTCATACTAAGTTAATACTCAAAATCTAAGGCTATGTTTGGTTCAAAGGAGAGGAGGGGAGGGGAGGGAATTTAATGGAAGGGAGGGGAGGGGAGGGGAGGGGAAGGGAGGGAAAGTAATTTTACCTTGTTTGGAGGGATTTTGCAGGAGGGGAGGTGAAGAAAAATGATTAACCTTGTTTGGTTAGAAGATGAAGGGGGAGGAAAAATAAAATTACATTAACAAATATACCCTTATTTATTACAAGACATAAAACTGGAGGGGCATATTATGTAATTATAATGAATTTAGAAGGACATATTAGTACAAAAACTTGTAAGATTTAACTTCCCCTCCAAATTCCCCAAAAATTGGAGGGGACTGATTTCCCCTTGGGTGGGAGAAAGGAGGGGAAAATTTTACTCCCCTTCCTTGCCAAAATTGAACCAAACAGGGGAAAATAAAAATATTCCCTCCCCTCCCTTCCCCCTCCCCTTTGATTCCCCCGAACCAAACACAGGCTAAATTTTAATCCAACCCAACTATCTCAAAATTATTAATAATATTAACCAAACATTCTTACACGTCATATCAATTTTTATTTAATATTTATTCGTTCACATAGTTTTAACTAATCGTGTCACTGCGTCATCTCTCTTCTGCTTTTACATTAAATCAAACTCTAGTTAACACAAAAAAAAAAAACTAGCAGTAGCAAATACTAGTCTAGTCAAATAGAGCCCCACTTATAACCGGATTTTTTAAGAGCTCGTTTGTTTGGGAAGACAAGATTAGATAATTTAATCTTGTCACACAAGATTAGGGGTGTAGAGATTAAAATTATTTCATGTTTGTTTTCCTTGATTCATTCAAGATGATATTAGTGTTCTTAAATGTAATTTTTGTTTGTTATCCATGATTAACATTAGGATTAGAAGTACAATTACATATTTGGCCTTTATTAGAATATTGATTTGCATGTCTTTTTTTTTTTTAAATTTGTACGCAAGTGGTGTTGTCTTTTTTTTTTTTTTTTTTTTTTTT